AGTGAAAGGAGACATGATAAAATTAATAATAATTATTATAACCAAAGTCATGCCTAGTATTTCCTGCTTTATTTGTTTCATATTATTAATGATTTTGTTGAGGCGGGTGTAGTGGTTCCTGTTGAGATTAGTTCGAATCCAATAATATCGATCCATGAGTCAAGAAAGAAACCCCCGTTGGATTATGGAAAGCGACAAACCCTTCTGAAAGCAACAAACCCTTATGGAGCATTCCCACAGGTTAGACCTACTCCATCCTAATTATTCAAACATTGACAAGGATTGCCATCTAACCTTCCAGCTGCTTTTGAAAGAGATAGGTAGTGCTTGCCACAATTTGTAAAAAATGATTTCGAGTTTTTCAATTCATGGTACTATTTAAAAACTTACTTTGAATCTATTTTTATTAATTAATATTGTCATTTAATCGGATTTAAATTAAATTAGCTAAAATTGATTTTAATATGAAATTACAAATACATGTCTAATAAATCATATTCGAAATTGATGAATAATTTAAAAATTAATATAAAATTTTGATATAAGAAGAAAGTAATACTCTTTTACACTTAATTACTCAATTATATTCATTAGTTATACTAGTCTCTGAATTTTTTATTCTCTCATTTAATTCCTACACTTTTAAATTTAGTAATATTATATATAGAATTATTTAAATTAATCAAATTTATTATTAAAATTTAAATTTAGATTCTCAATAATCGTGTTATTTAATTTTATATCAATTACTTATTTTAGATTACAGATATTCGTAATTAAATATAATCTATCAAATATTTTAATCAGATTCAAATTTCAAAATTCAAATCAAATTCGGATTATAATTCAACTCATTTACAATCCTACTTAGGTAAAAAAAAATAAATTAGAAATATATTTTAAAAGTATTAGGGATGTGTGCTTATAATTTATGAGTGATGTCATTGCAACTAACTATAGACTGTTTTAAATTTTTTTTTGAAGTTTTTTAAAATTCAAAATTACTTAAATGAATTTTTTTCAAAATTTTTAAAAATTTTCAAAAACTTTTATTCTCTTAAAATAAATTACAAGAATTACATACTAAAACACTATTTTATTATTTTCAATAATTTTATAACACCTTGCAAAAGCCAAGTTTTGTCCAAATTGCTCAATTATCATTGGTTTTCACCCATTTGCATTTCTATGCAAGTGAATTATTAATTTATATAGAAATTAGCAATAGATGTATTTTTTTTTACCATTCTTTATTGGAATCAGGATTTCTTATTACTTCCTTGTAGCTTCGTTTGTGTTATTTGTTTACATTTAAGGTTTTTATATTTAAATTTTTTAAAAAATAAATAATAGACAACCTTTTTATTTTTATTTTATTTATTTTTAAATAGGGTTTTCTTTACTTTTAATATGATATCATAGCCGCTAAGACCTATTATCATTCCTAACTCAATCACTTGGATATCTCTTGGACCATTTTAGTTCACCACTTAGATTCCCATTAAGCTTTTTAGGTTGTCACTTACGTATCTACCAAACACCTTCGGTTCAGACATATATATTTTATGTTCGACACTACTAGTAATTCTAATTTACACATAAGCATTACTCGTGTTTTAAGTTTATTCCTTAAGTTTAAGAATCATATTTTCAAAAAGAAAATTCAAGTTAACATGTTGAGTTTGAGGGAGGCTTATATATATAGGAAATCAATTAGTCTACATAAATCATACTGCTTGTCTTGCAGGTATAATATAGTGTTATTTTGAAGCATTATTGCTCTCCATCTCTATCCTAGTCCTTACTCAGAGATCTATTTTGATCTCCATCCCCTCCATCTCCTCCTTTTTTGTGAAATAAAGAATATTTTGAAGTGAATTTGGACTCAAAACTAATTACCTTCGGGTTGGATTTGTAAAAAGTCAAAATCTTCCCTAGCAAGTGTGTTTTCAAGGGATTGAACTTTTGTTCTTTCTCTTATGAGATTAGAGACTACTTACCAATTCAACCAATAATTATTGGTTCTCTATCCCCATTTTTACATCCACAAATGATGCAAAAATCAATATTTTTTTTTTTAATTTTTAAAGCTAGGTAAGAATGATTGAGCCTTTCTCCACCTAATTTGAGAGTCCTTTTGCGGCTCAATGTTCCAAGAGTGTTTGTTTCCTAGTCTTTGTAGTTGTTTTGGTCACTTTTAGGTTTCGCCCCATATGTTAAAAAAAAAATGCAAAAATCAAATTTCTTGAGACCCCTCTCATTTCTATCCAACAATCAAGATTAGGAGCGCGTCAGTCTCCTGAGTTTGAATCGATCCCACTCAAGAAGGCCACTTGACTCGGCTAAGTGAGATTAGATTGGGTTGGCTAAGGAATGGGTGCATGCTTAGGCTGGACTTGGATTGTTGGATTAGACCTCCAAAATGGACCAAACGGATTTGGATGGACTGGACCAAGCAGTGCAGGATCTGGGGTAACAGGCAGTGGGCTTATAAAACCGGCCGAAAGGCACTAGGGTTAAAATAGGTAGCGAACCAACTTGCTGGGCTTGAGGAGTGGACTGGGTCAAATTCGCAGCGCAAAGGAGACGTGGACTGGACCGAACTTGATCTAGGCGGTAGAATGGTGGGCCACTTGGGCCGCCCTAGATGTAGCAGGCGCGGATCACTGGACTGGGTGAGTGGACAGATCAGGTCTTGACTGTTCGGGTCGGAAGCCATGGAAGCTTCTTGAGGAGCTTCTGTCGGGCTTCCATGGTCGGCGACGACACCAAAGGCAAGCGGCGACGTGAAAGAAGCTTGCCTGAAGACTGAATGGAGAGAATCTACTCCAAGCTATTTCCACCAAGTGCGAGGTAAGACAAGGGCGAAGGCCAAACCAGTCGAACGAGATCCTGAGATGCGGGATTTGTTTGCACAAAAGGCTTCGGCTAAGGTGATGAAGCCCAGAGCTTTGGATTTGAGATAAGGCGGAATAAATTAGTTCGAACCCAGATTTGTGGAGAATAAAACTAGAATTGAAAACCTATCAGATGGGGTTGTCATCCAAAACAAAGAGAATTGAGGGGATTTGTGAGGGTTGTGAGTTAGAACCAAAAGCCCCTTGCTGTGTGTGGAATCTGGCCGAGTTCAAGGGTGAGAAAGAGGAGCTTGCAGAGAGGAAGAACACAAGAGAGAGCCAAGAGAAAAGTTTTTCTGTTGAGGGAAAAACTTCGGTTGAGAGAAGAAAGAATCAGATAGGGAGTGAAAGTTTCCTTTTAATCTGTAAGAGATTAATAAAGGCTGGAAATTTGAGAGTTCCTGTAAATCCAAGTGTGCTTTCCTATTGATTTCTTCTTCTCCTTGCGATTGTTTTGCACTCCTGCGTGTGTTCCTGTTTTGCACGGGTTTCTAGGTTGGAGTCTGGCCGACGATCACTGCCGATTGGGAAGTTCGGCTGATTGGTTTGTTGGCTTCATCCTTTACGGATTGGAGTAGAGGAAAAATACCGAAGAACCGAATCCCCTTGCTAAGTTGCAGGCAGGAGAGCTAGGGAGGGAGACGACGAGTGGGGCACACATCCCTGGCGCATGGGCTGTGAAGGCAAAGCAATAGCCACGTGCGCGTGTGAAAGGCAGAAGAGCGGGAGCCACAGACGCGTGGGGCGAGTGCGGAGCTAGAAAACCGGCAGGCGCGTGAAAAAAAGTTCTAGCACATGCTAGTCTAGAAAAGGTCCGAAATGTGACATTGGTGAGGGACGGAGGAACAATTGAGACGTAATATTTCATGAGAGGAATAAACTTGCCCTTGAGTTATTTAAGATAAAAAAAAATTTAAATTTTCACTTAAGTGGTGGCCGAACATAACATGCCTAACATGCCCCATCCTAAAATGCAATGGCACGAAGATAGCATATACCTAATGCTGCAAGCATACAGCATTGCATACAAATTTGCGAAAATTTTGGCACAAATCTCCACGTAATAACTGCCAAAATACTGCAATGAATTGAATAATAAGTGCATAGTTACACTACCTTTATGCTGAGATAGATCAGTATGGCGTGAATATGAAATGTGAAGCTTACAAAACCCTCCATCATATATACAATGTCCTTCCAAGGATTCCTTGGCTACAATGGCAGCCTGAAACAAAGAAGAAAAGAAGATAATAAATAATTTTTTAAAAAATAAAATAAAGAAGACGAAAAGAAGAAAGGAACTGTTCCAAAGAGACAGCTTCCATGAAAGATACCAGAGGATCAGCAAAATATTCTGCAACAGTCATCCCCGGCAAGATCACACAGATTCAAAAACAAAAAATTGGGTGTAATAGTTCCACAAAGTCCCATCTATAGAGCGTGCACTACATGGTTAGGACAAAATAAATTCACCAACCCAATGACTCTGCACATGGTTCGTATAATTATTAACTAATATGGTTTTTAACTATTCTCGGAGGAATAATCTGAATAACCACTCATATATATGGCCATCGCCCCAACCGCAAACAAAAAAAAGCAAGAGAAGGAGAAGAAGAAGACTGCAACAGAGTCATACAAAATTAACTAAGCGTGTACTTAATTAATTAATTAATTTTTATTAACATCTGTTTTTGGTGACGTCGTCTTAATTTGATCACCTATATTTTTCTGTTGAGATATTTTCATTACTGTTTTACTGTATACTGAAAAGTAACAAAATAAAAATTTAATTGTGCAAAAATATTTTTACAATAATTAAGAAATTAAATAAATAAATAAAAATACTTCAAAATTTAACTTTTAACTTTTTTTTTCAAACATATTAATATATATCAATAAAAATAATAATAATAAGAAATGAAATTAAAAACCATTGTTCATTTTTCTATTGGTTACATGGTAGTTAGGCCATAATTCCAAGCAATTACCGCATTGCGCATCCCTTGTTTAATCAGAATAAAATATGGCAACCTAAACTTTGGGAAACAACTAGATAGCTAGATAATCATTAACAAAATATTCCGAAATCCAAACAGGCCTCTAGGAAAATACTTGTTCAACTCTTGCCCCAGTAGTAGAACTATCTTCAGCAACCACAAGCTGAAACCGCTGCTTGGTCTTCTCACCGTTGTTTTTCTCCACATCCCATGACTTGTGTTCTTCCTCCATTACTCCCTTCTTTCTGTACTTGCAGTAAAGCAAAAGCTGGAGGACTCCAAGCGGGCAGCCAACCATATTAGGAGACTGGAAATTAATATTTTCAGGATTAAGTTAGAAAATTAATTATAAAATTACAAAATTATATTACGAAATTTAAAGCAATAATAATATCATACAAACCGCGAGGAAAAGATCACAATCAGAAGTCCGTAAGCCAACCATATCCAGCTTGCTAGGAATGAGAAAAATGACAAGTAGAATGGCATGAATTCAACGCTCTTTGTTTGTATAACTTGTTTCTGTATTACCGATAATATTCACAATAATTAGTAATATAAAACATCAAGAAAATGCTATATAATAATTACCATTGTTCTAATTGAAAAAACCATTTTTTTAATTTTTTTGCATAGCCACGTGGCTAGAGCTAGAGGCTTGAGGATGTGAAGATTGAGCATGCATCAGATCTCGTGCATGCATTATGCATATACATGCATGGACAAGGTAGACATTTACCTAGGTGCCACCTTTGGGTGTGTTTGGTTGTTTAAAATTTGTATTTTCAGTTTTTTGATTTAAAAATTTATTACTTTTAAACTTTTATATTAGAAAGTCATAGGTAAAAAATTATATTTACATGACCCCAAAAAAATCAAATAACCAATGGGACCTTAAAATGTCTTTAAATTGGAATCTAGTAAGAAAAAAGTGGGGGGAGGGGGGGGGGGAGATGGAAAGAATATATGAGCTCACCACAACCACCAGAGGAGAGCCATACATTGCCACAGAGGCCACCAGTCCTACACTCCTATGAATACCTTGCGTCGATGGTGATCATGGAACACGAAAGATGATATTATTGCCGCCGCGCAGGAAACCAGGATAACAGGTACTGCTACCATAGCTACCTTCTTCTGCACCATTAATTGCCATGTAAAAAAGTTGGTAGCTTTTCATAAATGCCACAAACTGCACTCATGGATAAATAATTGGTATATGTTTGTGAGCACACACATTAATTTGTTACCATGTTCTGCGCCATTACCATGCAAAAGTTGGTACCCATTTCATAAAAGTAGCTTATAAGACACTTGAAACCTTCTCCATCACCATTACCACCATTACCATGTAAAGGCCGGTATCTTTCATAAAAGTGATTTATAATCAAAAGCTTCTTAGTTAAAAATTTTCTAACTGCAGTCACGAGCTGTAAGAAAAGGGGATATTTTGACGCTTAATATGTGTCACAATGGGCCAAACAAAGCTTATTGCCACCCAAATTGTCTAAAGTAGAAGTATCAATTCCTTTTATATATATTTGTGCGTTCAAATCTATCTGTATTAAATTTTCATGATTTTATACATATTTGTTTTGGTTTTGATTTTGATTTTGATTCTTTTATTAGCCACGTATGAAGAATAAGACAGACTGGAAATTTTATATATAGCTTGCCTTTCCTCCAGCTGAAGCAAACCAAAAATATATGATAATGAAAGAGAGCTCGAGAAGGATCCCGAGGCCATTAATGGTGACGAGAGAAAAATTTTCCCATCCGCAGCTCACAACAGGCAAGCCATACCAAGTGTATAGGAAGCAATTCCAGAGAGCAATGATGTAAGGGACGCATGAGAACTCCTCAGTGCTTCTCTTTCTTATAACCCTGTAAAAAGTTAATCTGTGAAGAAAAAATAAATTTAGAAACTAATGAAGTCAATTGTTGGGTTAATTATCAACCGTTACAGCAGAAGAGTATATATATATATATAGGACAGCATAGAACATTACATTGGGGCAGCATAAAGTAACAGAGAAGCCGCATTCCCTGCAATAAAACCAAGAAGCTCCTTTTAATCAAGTCAACAAATAAGTTCTTTTGCTCTTTTAATCAAATTTTCTAGAAAGTAGTGAGTACCCATCAATCCAGCAGCCAAACGCACCCTACCATCTGCCATGCTCGTCAAATAAATGGTCCCGAGAGAAAGAGAAGTGAGTTAAGATTGGTTCCACTGTTGAGCAGCCTTGATCAAGTTGGGTATAAATAGTTGAATATGGATGGCAAGGAATAATAGAAAATTGAGTTTTTTTTTTTTCGCCTCTTAAGAAGAGAGAGAGAGAGAGTGCTGTCTACGTCGTAAGGAACTTGTGCAGGGAAGAAGCCTCCAATATCGTCCATTTGGTTCAATTTGTTTAATGCAGTCGTGCACCTTCAAAAATAATCTGGGTTAGGTTTTGAAATCCAGCAATTCAGCAAATGAGTGTGTGTGTGTGTGTGTTTGTGTAAAATAAAGAAGAGGAATTATTTGTCGGCAAATGGTTCTCTTATGAGTGGAACATGTCACAAGACATCCACTACACTCGATGCAAATCACTTCAAGTGATAGAAAATGTCATATTGAATTCTTGTGGTTGAGAAGCCTTGCGGTGATTCGTAATTGGGCAGAAATATTAATTAATTTAATTTTTACTACAGTGCAGACAGATGCATTGTCATTATTAGCCTAATCATGCATGTTCCTAATGCTACCTGCCACAACTTTGCTTGCTCGTAGTTTATGTAGTTTTTGGCATGGGTATATTATGAAATGGAAGATATATCCTAAAGCAGTGTAATAAGTGACTTAACTTGCTCAAGATTTGCAGGCCTTTTCGTGGGTGGAAGGCATCGGACTCTATTTTTGACCCAAGCCGCAGGATTTTTCATCTTTTTGCCAGTCCAACAATTGATCAATAGCTGTATTTAATGTTAAGCTTTGATTCAATGGGTTAATAATTTTAATATCTATTAATTATACTCATCAATATCTAATAGATACTTGAGATTCTGATTTAATAAGTTACAACTCAATATCAAATAAATTGATTAATTTGTATTTGATTTAAAAAATTGACCTAGGAATAGAATTTTTGCAAACCGCAACTTAGAGAGTACACGGATTAAATTCCATATTTTTGTGTATTTTCAGCATTCTATCAGTAATTTTGGAAATCTGGGGTTTTGTAAATCCATGGGGTTTGTTGCTTGTTTATGTAAACAAGAGAGGGGATTTTGGGGTTTTTTGGTTTCTTCCATGGAAGGGCAGGCTGGAGTTGGTTAGGGCTGCGATCTCAAAGGGCAGTGCAGATAGGTTTGGAGGATACCAAGATTTTGATTAAGTTTTGGGGTGTCTTCGTGAGCCTTTGCTCATCTGGGGTTCATGGTCGGAGTTGATCCGGAAAAGATACTCAAGAGCAAATCAGAGGACGTCAGCTTATCTTCTAGTGTTTACCTCTAGCCCAGGGTGTTTTCTTTTGGAATCTAACAGGTTTTCTTTTACTGTATATTGTCTCGGGTTGAATATGGCTTTTACTCAGTCTATAATTAAAGTTCTGTGAATAAATTTCTCAATCAAATGCAATGAAATGTAGTCTGTTTTCCAAAAAAAAAAAAAACAAAAATTAAATACATAGAAACATGTATTTTAATCTTATAAATTTAAAGAAATATCTCCAGAGGATACATTAGGCGACTTGTTTCTTAAGCAGAATTTTTTTGTTGTTGTGGTCAGGCGCATCTAAGTAACTTCATTTTAAGGGAATAAAGAGAGGTGCCACACATGTTAAAATGATTTCCAGAGCAAGAGAGGAAAAACCCTTATTACTTTAAAAAAAATTGAGAATCAATTTATTCCTGGCTGAAATGATTTAAGTGGATTGCTTCGCAGAGAAAACAAAGACCAATACTATTCCTGGGTGCGTTGTAATTTGTATGGCTGATGCTTTTAAGCCTTCAATTTGGAGGAATTGAGTTTGCTAGAAGAGGACCCATTTGAGAGGGGTAGTCAAATCTGTGCATGAAATGGGAATTCTTTAAGAATGTCTTTTTCGATGGAGGAAAAAAGTTAGTCTTTTTGATGGAGGACAAGAGCCATGTATCCATGATGGTGACCTCAGCACATTTTCATCTGTCGTTCCCGATGTTCATCCAATCTAATTGCTTCAACTTATCATTAAAATTCTACATCCTTAACCAAACAATTGCTATATCGATGCCTTATTCTAATACCCTCTTCTCCTGCCTTAAAGTGTCTCTGGTAATGGAGATCTCTATTACAATCAGAAACATGTCTTGGTGCACCTAACATAACCTGTTCAGACACAGTAATATCATGCATCAAACTATGATGATCATGATCCAAGAACTTCATTTTAAAAATAAAAGGAAAATGAGTGGATTGATTGTAATTTATCATTCCATCCATGATTTGGACAGTACGTAACTGAATGCTTTCTGGGGTGAGCATATCATTCTATCTCGGGGAGGATTTTAGGGTTGAAGATGCATGTATGATGGGAAATTAATGTAAGAGCTAGCAGTGATAATGGCATATAAATGAAATTCACAGGCAGGCAGAATATATTCTCCTGTTGAAGATGTGTACGTATATAGCATGTGCATCAGATTGGTTGTACTCTTCCACTAGCTTGCTTCAAGCTTCATCTCTACATTTTTCAGGGATAAACCCAAAGCCAATAATATAGCTAGGTTGGTTGTTACATTCCTAGTCAAAATCATTAATTATTAATTAATTGTAAAATGTTAAACCACTTTTCAGTTGCATTATTTGAATACTCTTTTTCGGCGGATTTTGTCCCCAACCAAATGAAAAAGAAAAGAACAGAAAAGAAAAAAGACAAATGGAACATTGACAGTGTGTAGTAAATACCCAATGTTGCATGTTTTCCAATGATAATTTCAATAGCAAACCTACAAATTAATTAGTTTATGAAAAATATAAAAGCATTTTGTAGTACTCTTTAATCTTACAAAGAAACTTAAAAATCATTTATATCCACTTTTATAAAAACATATATTACACTGATATGAGAATAATTGATTTTTAATAAGTCATTGAAATTAAATTATAAATTGAAAATATTTAAATTTAAGTTATCTAATAATAACTCTTAACAATCTTATATATTTATATGATATCATAATTGAAAATTGATATAATACAAATATCATAAATAATATTAATTTGGAATCAGGAGTAGCAGAAAATATCAGTTACTTAATATTATTTAGGTTGCCTTTTTATAGTGGTAAAGAAGTCACACTTCCAAACACTATAATTTAATGGCGACCATCCACCAAGGGAGTTACCATGGTTAAAAAATCACTCCATTTCCTAGCTAACCATTAACTATGATTACTTTACAGCACGCCCGCCGATCCCTACTTTAATATCCTGAAAATCCTCCTCTTCATTGCCCTTTCGTCCAACCAGACAAAAAATCACAAGTCGTTTGGTTGCAAATTCAAAGTTAGCCGACTAGGAGGTTAACCATGGCATTTAGAGTATTTACTTATTCGGCCAACTAGAAGAAAGGTCCATGATAGCGTTGGGACATGGCATATGTCACACAACATGTACCGAACTAAGCCAGATATTTTTTGAAAGTTAAAAAGAGAGATTTTGAGGGGTTGTAATTATTTGTACTATAAACATCCTCTGGCTGACTTTCAAGAGTTGGCATTTAACAAGCATTACATCTGCGATTTTATTCTCTCTTGGATATTTTACTGGAACACATTAGAATAAAGTTCTTATTCCATAATATCATAATATTAGACTAAATGAGGGTTTTCCTATATATATATTTTTTATTTTGATCACCATATAAGTTTTATTTTAATTTTTTAACTATTATTTCTCTCTCTTAAATTGATTTATTAGATATTCAAATGACATTAATACAATGTCCAACTGGGAAGAAACTACTTATAAGGTCACGTTCAAATGAGGTAACAAGATAAGGTAAGATAGTATAAATTCATCTTATATTATTATACATTTGGTATGTATATAATAAGTTCAAGAAAAGATTATGATAAAAATAATATTAAATGTGAGAAGAATATTATTACTTTCAGTACTTGATAAGAGATAAATTTGAGTAATTTCTGCGATTGTCAAGTTAGGCAGCACTCGAGCATCAACACCAGCATTCTCAACTGAATTGCTGGTCTTTCCTTTTCCATTCTCTTATGACATGGCTAAAAAAACTAGATTCTAAAATGACATGGGGGATCAATTTGATAAGAGATAAATTTGAGTAATTTCTGCAGTTGTCAAGTTAGGCAGCACTCGAGCATTAACACCAGCATTCTCAACTGAATTGCTGGTCTTTCCTTTTCCATTCTTCTTATGACATGGCTAAAAACTAGATTCCAGAATGACATGGGGGATCAATTTGATAGGAATCATAATTGACATATTAAAATAAGACTTGCATAATAATCAAGGGCTCGATTGTTATCTTTAGCGGAGAAAATATCACCATGATATGCCCAAATTGGGAAAAAAAGAAAGAAAAAAAAAACAAAGAAGTCAGTGCAGGTCTCTAAAACAATTATATGTTTGACATGTATAGTACATATGTGTATTTTGTAAATTGAAATTTACTCCCATAATTAAATATATTTATTAATAAAAATTAAAAAATAAAAAGAGGTGTATTTACTGGCTTGATTTTGTTAGAGGATCAATTGAAGGTAGGTCCATGCCACACAGTGGAAAATGCATCTTACGTGTATTATTTAAGATGTCAGTATTTAATAATGAATTTTTATGTTTATCTAATGCCTTTTATGAGTCCTGATGGAACAAAAAGTACTTTTTTAGTAAAATAAAAATTACAAAGATAGTGCTAGGAAAATTTTAATATAATATATTATTAAATAATACAATTAAAAAATTACATATCACAACTAAATTTACCCCAAAAAAAAAAAAATTTTGAGCACGAACAAGTTACTAATAACAGAAAAAGGTAGAATCAATGAAACCAAGTTTTTATTTTGCTACAATTTTTTTTATCTTGCTATAGTAACCGAGTTTCAATGGTAACTTAGCTATCCTTTTTTTAGGGGCAAGCAACACTCTTCTCATTTCAGATTTATTTGAATAAT